CTGCAATGTCATTATGAAACAAAAAACAGATGCTTTGGTTTAAAAATGTCAGAATACATACATTATATGTATAATAATATGTGGAAATTTGTGGAAATTAAAATGTTAATTTAATAATTTCAGCATTAATTTAGCAATATTTTCAGTCAACCCAAATGTATATTTTTGGGTGAAAATAAAATTCTGTACAGCTGTGACATAAGTATAGTGAAATTCATAAGGAAGATATTTAAAACTGTGATAAGAAAATACAAATTTATTGCTAGCCTGTTAACTGTGCCCTTAGGCTCCTAGGAAAATAGTAATTTACAGATGGGGGTCTTAAAACCAAATACTAAATAGCATTGTCTTTATTCAGATATGAACACAAAGTATTACCAGGTAGCTACCAGATGACATTGTGACAGTGATGTTAAATGAACTTTGAAGAAAAATCTGAGATGACCAGGTTCTTCTGAGCAGAATGTAATTACCTTGGAAGCTGTCTGAAAATGACTAGAGAATAAGAAAATTTAGCTCTGACAGTAATTTCTGGAGTTTTTGGGACTGTGGTTTAATAAGACAGCAAATGACTCGCAGGCTGACAGGACTGGAACACAGCTTGCAGCCACGAGATGGGAGGTACTGATCTCGCAGAAGTTCCCACTGACAATGCAAATTCCCTGTAAATGATATGACAGGTCAGCATTGCAGTAGCTGACTTTTTATGCTAGATTAGAGCTCCCATTGCATGGAGAGGCAGGTATTGTCTGTCCCCTCATAGCTGACACAAAGCTGGCAGAGACTCCAGATTGCATGTTCATTGGCAAATGGGGCACACCAGTGTGGTTGGTCAGAGCCCAGATTTCACTGAGCATTGGAGACAAGGCCTGGCTGCTGAAAGTCTGCAGCCCCGTGGACCGTGTCTGGATGCCGGGAAAATAAGATGCATACAGTATACAATATATTTTGGTATCATGCAGATCTGAAAATTCCTTTACTAAGTAAATTCTAATGTGACTCTACAGCCCAAACCTGGCCACATGAATAGCCATGAAGCAGAAGTTTCTGAAGGGCCAGTTAAAGTGTGACACAATGTGTCTAGTTTAAGATAAAACCAGCACTTTTTCCAGCTGCCTGTCTTTGCTCAGAGTTGTGCAAACCTCATTACAAGGTTTTTTTCATGATAATTTATTTAAAATTGGTATGGAAGACTCTGACTACTCTTACTGTAGTTTGAGTGGGCCTAGTTCAGTGTAGTATACATTTGGGTGGTTAAGCAACATTGCAATCAAGTGAACTATGATGGTATCATGATTAGGACATACATTTTCACACACTTTCTTTAGAAATCTAGAGCAGGAAGCCAAATCAAAGTGAACAATGAAAACAAATGAAGCATGGAGACGTACTGACTCAGGCAATCCCTGCTTCCTCCTCTCCTTCTGAACTGTCCTCACAGGGCAGTTCTGCTTTAGCGCTTGACTGTAATTGGAGCTCAGCACAAAGCAAAAACCATCCCAAGGCTTGTAAACCTTTCTTTCAGCTAGGGCTATTTGTCCACATATCTTTCTGTGGCAGCCAAACTAATTACCATGGCATGTCTTTCCAAGTAACAAAACCTGCTTGTCTGCCAAGATAAAATATTTGGAAGGCTGTGAAGTGATGTAACCTAGGGACACCTTTGTATTGCTATATTTTAAGTGCTATTACACAGAGCTCTGCTAGTGATTTGAATTCAGGGCATGTTATTTAATAATTGGGTGAAGCCAGACTGGTCTCATCAGACTAATACAACCCCACACAGGAGTCAGGACTGGCAGAAGTTTTGTAATGAAGACTGCTGCTCTGTTAGTGTGATTCTTAGGTGAAATTGTTAGAAGAGCTGGCAAAACTAGTAGCACAAGAAGCTAGAAGGGAGCACAAAGCTGCCGGGACCAGCAGGTAGAAGACATGTTAGAAGAATGGCAGCTCACTGCATGACTTGCACAGCCACTTTCCCTGGGCCCGTGGTCCTTCATGTTCTCCAGGAGGGCACAGAGCAGTCATACAACAGCCAGGCAGTCCTTGGCCCTTCTGCTTGGTACATCATTAGCAGTCTAGTGATACTGACCTATGGAAATGGGATTGGCACCAATGCTTTTATAAGTATCAACCACAGCCATCTCTTCTGCTTAGGAGCAATGCAGTTCAGATTTGGATAACAAGAAGTCTCAGTGGATTGTGTTATTGGCACCTGTACTACCCAGTTCATTAAAGGGACTGGTCCAGAGTCTTATCACAGTTGCCTATTTGCAAGTGTGATGCTACTCCAGAAATACAGTAGACTAAATGAGATTTTTTTTTAAATTGGCTGATTGTTTTCAAATCTACAGCAATCTTTTAAAATCAAGAGGTTTTTCTGAAGCTTCTCCTCTTTTAGTGGACAAACTCCTCCAGATGGCCAACAATATGGCTCAAGGTCTTGAACTAGCAATGTGTAGGCTGTCAGTTTCTATTCTTCTTTCTGGAATGGTAACATAAGTTCAGTAATTTTGCAGAATCCATGTATCTGTTTTTGTTTAGTTATTACTAACTTTTGTTAGTAATTACAAAGTGCCCAGGCTGGGCTTTTGAAGAACCAGTCTCAGTTTCAGCCCTTTACCTTCTTTTAGGACAGCCAAGTTTTAGCACTATCTTGGAGTAAGTTCCTTCAAGGTAGGAGACCACAGTTTTTAAAGTTCTACTGGGCTCCATTTTTTGGGGGGCAGGAAAGAAAAACACCGTGGTAAGATCTCCCTTCAAAGCACAATATTCAAGCATTCTTATTCCACAGTCATATCTTGGCTACAGCTACAGTTTGAATTCAACTAAAAGCTTTTAATTGGTCATCCTTCCAAACATTTCCAAACTGTCATTCATTTTCAGGTACGCCTAGAGATCTATTGTCCTAACATAATAAAAAAATTTTAGTCTGAGACAGAAGTCAATTACACTAATTGTTCAGCAGGAATTAACCTCTTATGCATCATCAGATTATTACTGTTGCTAGGTTCATTTTGCAAAGATCTTTCCTTTATCTGTACATAAGCAAAGCTAAGCACCAGGACTTGTGAGTCTCAGTACTGACTGGGAAATAACTACTTTATTGGAATGAGAACAGACATGTATATTGAATGTACTTCTAAACTGACTGGAATATTGAAATAGGCTGCAAAAAGGTCACCTTCAGCTATGGGATAATGACACCAATTGTCTGACTAAAAATAGCTTTGCCATAAACACAATTATTAGCAAAGTAAATGGTTATCTGTGTGTTGACAGATATTAAAACAATACCTAAAGAACTTTTAACCAAAGTTGATGCTTCTGAGGTCGTTCTGAGGATGTGCCCTCATACCTCCATTTAAAACTCACTTATGCACATCCATTCAGAAAACGGAGTGATCTGGACGATTTGAGAGGTGTATGTGTACGTGCAGGAGCCAGCTCAGGTGTATGTGAGAATGTGCTGAAAGATAAGCTCCCAGGAAAAATTCTAGGGGAGTTCTAGGTCAGCTGGAAGAGAGGTGAAATCTGACTGTGAGGACAAGGCAGAGAAGTTGGAAGGAAGGATAGGCAATTTTTTGGTACTGGATGAAAGGACTCTTGACGATTTGAGTGAATAAGTATTTTCCTATGCTCAGAAAAAATCTTATTTTTATGTGAGTAAAACTTCATTGGGGTGTGGAACTCATGGTCTGCTTTCCCTCCGAACTGAAATTCCAGCAAAGCCCTGGATTTTGACAGGTCATGTCAGAGAAGAATCCTGAGACAAAGTGAAGGAAGAGCTGGGGCCAGGCAGATCTGGCAGTGGTGCTAGAACTCACACTTTTTTCCAGACAATTTGAAGGAGAGACTGTACTCTCTCCCCTAGAAGCAACCACAAGAACTGAATTGGAATAATAATACAGCCACTTAGGAAATTGTCTCATCAATAAAACAGAAACATTCACTGGCAGGTTTACCTGCATGGCTCATCAGCCATCCTGCCAAAGTATTTCCTGAAATTTCCCTGAAATGTCCTAGATGGAAATTATCTCCATATACAGAAGTTGTTAGCTTCCTTTAAATTGATGTGACATTTTCCACAGCATTATGTTTGACTTATGATTTTATTCAGCACATAAATGTCAGCACAGACACGAGGAGCTGTGCAATTAATTTTTCAGGAAGGGCAAATAGAGCCAGTGGGGTAAAAAGAGCAAGTTAGCATAAAACATAAAAGTGGATGATAAAACTCTGAAGTGTGTGCAGAGGTCTGGGTCTCAGTATTCGATAGCCTGACAGAAAGTATGATGATACAGTGAAGAAAACAGAAGGCATCTAAGATAAACTGAGGTGGGGCAGAAAAAAAGTGATGTTACAGGAGCTACTATTTCAATTAATTCTGTGTGTGCCAGGACCACCACACGTGCAGTCCTTTGGCTATAGCTATATTAAAGCCTGCTGTAAAGTTTAGTCAAATCAATTGTAGTTTTCCTCTTGCAGCATATCTCTAGCAAGACATGGCAATGAGATAAGGAATCAGAAGTAAAAATCTATGTAAAACGAAAAAGGTTTTTTTTTAGCCAGGAATGCAAAGCCATAGTCCTAACCTCAATCTTGTTGCTGATGAGTCGCGTGCTTTTCCATGCCACATTAACACGTGTTTGCTGTACCCGCGTTCAGAGTAAAGTCATTGAATGTTTGAGAGTCCTTCCACCCGGGACAGCCCCGTTCGCGATTAAACACCTCAGCCGAGGGGGCCGGGAGCAGCGCTCCGGGCAGGGGATACTCTCGGGGACCGGACTGCGGAAGCCGACCCCGGCCCGCCTGGCTGTGCAGAATTCATAGAGGGCTTTTCACTCCTGCCCCCTGCCTACTCCTACCGGGCGACAGCCTTTCCAGGCTCGCCGGGACCTCAGCTGGGCGGCGAAAGGGCGGGTGGGTGACACGGAGCGGAGCCGCCAGGGCGGCGGGCCCCGGGCCGGCGCTGAGGCGGAGGCTGCCCCGGTGGGCACAGCGCTGCTGCCGGCAGCCTCGGCGAGTTCCCCGGGGATGGGGTCTCTCTTGCTCGGGCTGCGTCTCTTCGGTTTCGGGCTTCGGTGCGGTCTTTAGGCAGGGGAAAGGGGCGGGGGAAGGCGGCTCCGGACCACCCGGCGGGGCCCCGAGCAGCGGCGGGAGCTGGCGGGAGCCAATGGGTGCCGGCGCGGCCGTGTGACAGGCGGGGCGGCCGCTGCCCCCGCCAGGCGGGGAACCTGCACGGCGGCGCTTGGCAGCATCATCCGCGGCTGCGGGGCTGACACACGCCTCCATCCTCCTCTCTCCCGGCAGCCGCTCACACGCGCCTCGCCGCGGGCGGAGCGGAGCGAGGGGCGCCCCGGCAGACAAAGCAAAGATGGCAGGGATCCTCGCCTGGTTCTGGAACGAGCGGTTCTGGCTGCCGCACAACGTCACCTGGGCGGACCTGCAGAGCACGGAGGAAGCCGCATTCCCGCAGGCGGAGGACCTCTACCTCGCCTTCCCCCTGGCCTTCTGCATCTTCATGATCCGGCTGCTCTTCGAAAGGTAACGCCGAGCCCCTCACGCCGCCGCGGGCTTGGCTGGGCGGGCCCAAGGGCGGCCGAGGAGCTTTGTCAGCCCAGCGTCTTCCCTCGCCGCTGCTTCTCTGCCGGTCTTGCCTGGCCCTTACGTTATCCCTGCCCCCTCGGCTGGTCACGTAGCGGGCCCGATGCGGGAAGGTGGAGGGGTTCGAGAGGCAGCCAACACGCCGTTCCCGCTGTCTGCAGCGCGGCCCGGCGCGGGCGCTAGGAGGCGAGGTCCGCCCGGGAATGGGCGCAGCCCTCCCGCCACCTGCGCCGGCCGCGGCGGGCGGGGGAGAAGGCCCTCCGGCACCTGTGCGGCTTGGGGCGCTTGCCCGCGACCCACGGGCTGCGCCGGGGTCCTGTCTTCCCCCCTCACGGAAGCTCCGCAGAAGAGTGGCGACCGGGAAGTGATCCCGGCAGGAGAGTTTGCCCGCGCCCCCGCCGCAGGGCCGCTCTCCACAGCGAAGCCCGCGCTGGGTCCGCTGCGCGGCCGGGAGCGGCGGCGGGAGCTGGGGCCGGCGGCTGTTCAGCTGTTCCGCGTGGGGCCTCAGGTGGGAAGGGGCAGTTCTTGGTGAGGGCAGCCCGGAGCAGCGGGGCTGAGCAGAGCTGTGCGTGGCCAGTGCAGATGGTGTCGGTGAGCGGTCCGTGCGAATGTCGGAACACTCAGAATGTGGAAGCTCAGTGATGAAACGCGCTAGACGCTGTTCGTCTCTGAACCAAACTCACCGTTCTTCGAGGCTGCTGAACTCATAAACCACGTTTCACGAATACATAAATACGTATATATGTATGCTTAAACATAAGGCGTCAGACTAGCGCTCGGTCAGCAGGGGCTGTATTTTCTGTGGGTGTTCCCGAGCGGGTGCTGGGCAGGGGCCGCCTGTCTCGGGCACGCAGCAGGAGCCAAGCGGGCGCTCCCTTGAGCACGCTGCTGCTCCGCCTGACAAAGGTGCTGCTCCCTCAACAGCAGAGAACAAAAGAACGACTCCTTATGCCAACACCTACGTGTTTTCAGTGTTGTTTTCTTAGGCATGCTATTAGGGTAGTCAAGGAAGATAAAGGAAGACCGGTAGTTACTACATGCCAGAGAAGGGCTGTAAAGATACTTTAAAAATTATAAAAGAGCTTATCTGCCAGGTACCACTTCAAATTTCCTAAGCATTCCCTCTCCCTGGTTAGAACTTGCCTGTATTCCTTGCTTGGTTGAGAGGACCATATTTGTTTTGAAAAATAAGCTGTCATGGGCTGTTGTAATCATCTGTGTTGCTTTACAGGTTTACTGAACAGCAAAAATTGTCATCTGTCTGAAAATCTGAGGTTGTGAAAAGTTAATTGAAGCAATTGAGTTAAATGCTGCAATATAGTTACAAGTGGAGTAATAAGTACAATTACAAGTATTTAGATTATATCACAAAATTTTTTTTTTGCAATCTGTATGATGGGTATTTTCGAGTGTTGAAAGCAGGTGCATGATATTGCATCTCTTGTCATCTGAACTGCAGTAAGCATCACAGCAGGACTGTGTTTTGATGGAGGAACAGCTAGTCAGAGAGATAAACTTGAGGCTGAAACTAACTCACATTTCTGCTAATCCTGATGTGGCTATTGTTTGCATTGCAGAAGCTACTCTGATTATGTCGTAGTTTGTGTCCGCTTACTCTGGTTATTTTTCTTCATTCATTTAAAGTAATGTTTAATTTTGAAATGCATTACATTTTAAAGTGTTAGTTATACATATAGATGAGAATACCAGTATTGTTTAAATTCTCTTGTATTCATTAGGCAGATTTTGAAATGTATATCTAGAAATGTGTTCTGCTAACCTGACTGTAGGTGAGAGACCTCCAAAGATGTTTTACTAACAATTACTTAGGTATGTGTTTTTTCCTTTTCAAATTAAAATAAATTCCATAACTCCGCTGTGAGAGTAGGATCAGGCTGTTTTGTGTGGGATTAATTCACATGGCATGGTACAACAGTGATTTTTCATGTAGAGCATTTTATTAAAGCAGGCTGAGCAAAAGCAACTGGACCTGTTTCCACTGATGAAAGCAGGGGGATTGTGTATGACTTTGAATGGGGGAATGATCAAGCTTTATTATTGCTTATTGTTAATTGGTTTTTTCAGATTTCTGTGCTTTGGTTGTTGGGAGCTACAGAAATCCTTCATGCACATCATCAATTAACGGTCTGAAATTATCCACGATTAGAAGGGGGAAGAGAGGAAGATCTTTAAAACTGATTTTTTCTTTCTTCTCAGTATTAGAACATGGGGTTTTTTTTAAACTCAAGTTGTGGATGACTGATGTATGTGATGCATCCTGCAACATACTCCTACAGATGTTTAGCCATTGCAATGATAGCAGCTAAAGAAGAAATAAGAATAGATTCTGTTACACATTTTAAAAAACTTGCAGATTTATTTTAGATCTATGACTGTACTGTAGCATTTGTAACATCAAGGTAGTCTCTCTTTTGTTTTGGAAGATACCCTAACTCTAATACAGGTGCTCTTGTGATTCTGTACACTGGTTGGTAAGCAGACACAAGGTGTTAAGAATCTGATTATGTGTTTTATATCCATTATTTTCAGACTGCTTCATAGCAGCTGACTGCTAGGCTGCTGTAGCAGTATGGTTTATTCCTCTGCTTCATAGGAATGGTTACTAACTTCATGAATCCTCACAATAGTAAGAAACAGTTTGGGGGAGTTGGACTTTACGTGTCTTTGCTCACAAAGTTCTTGACGTGTTTGGGGGATGCAACTTGCAGTGCTGAAAGTGTGCTTCATAGGAATGGTTACTAACTTAATGAATCCTCACAATAGTAAGAAACACAGTTTGGGGGAGTTGGACTTCACGTGTCTTTGCTCACAAAGTTCTTGACGTGTTTGGGGGATGCAACTTGCAATGCTGAAAGCTGACATTATATTCTATATACATATGTATTTGTGTGTACATATTTGCAGGTGGAATTGAAATTACAGAACTTGGAAATTTTGTTCTCTACATATACACGTATTATTTACAGAGTTAATCCTAGGAGGATTGCTGTTGTTGTTTGTTACTGGTTTGGTGAATCACCTAACCAAGCCAAGAAAATAATCTAGACGCTTCTTTATTTTTTTTTTCTCCTTTCAAATGGGTTATTTTTTTGTTGATTTCCTTGTCCTGCTATCCCTGACCAGCCCTCTTGAATGAATGGAAAAGGTAGATTAGAACATTAATGGTATGTTCAGTCACCTCAGCAAGTGGATCTGATGATGATGAGCTCTCCTGAAATAAGCTTTGGTCTGAGGTACAATCTCACAGTCATGAGATTTAGCGGATGTATCTGCTGAGGTTATCATAGTTATGGATAAGGTGTTAAAATACTTTAACAGCCTTGTTTCCCTTCCTTCTCATTCATCTTTCTTTGAACACAAAGTACATTTTAGAAAATTATAATAACTAAGCACAAAGATAGTGTTACCTAGTAATTTGGAAGATGGCAGAAGTTTAGCAATGCAGTGAGTAATGTGGGAACATATTTCCCCCAAGTATGTATCCATTTTGTGTGTCTTACTATGTTTTCTAAAGGCATGTAACAATTAAGGATACCCCTTGTACTATACAATGCCTTCAGGTAATGTAAATGTTCAATAGTATGTCTCTGTCTCCCTGGATCCTTTCCAGTTCTAGTGTGGGAAAGACAGCTTAAAGCTGAATTGAAACTGATCTTACTAAGAGCAGGGTGTTGTAGTTTTCATTGGCCTAAAAAAAATAAATAAACACCTGTTGTTCTGGGTAAATACAATTTTTCTTCTTTTGTTTATGTGCTAGCATAAACTTCTTTTGTTCTGTGCGAGCACTGCTCAGAAGCAGCATCCTTTCCTAAACTCCTAAGCATGTCCTCTCCCAGGAGTGTGTGCTTATACAAAAACTGTATTCACTCAGCAATCAGTGTTTGTTGGACACAAAGCACGAGGGTAACATTCCTGTTTTAGAGACTTCTCTCAAGAGAGAAATTGACTGAATCCTCCAAAAGGATTCGTCATGAAATAGATTTCTGATGTGGTCCAGCAATCTTCTGAGTCAAGTAGTATATTTCTGCTTTCTTTACAGTTGGCTCACCTATTGAAGTTACTCATAGTTCATCTTTGCACTGTAGTTGCACTGTATTTTATTTCCCTCATCTTGTAAGCAGCAGTTTGGGCTCAGACCTAATGAAATCACTCAATGAATCAGCAGACTGCTTATATTGCTTTTATTGTAATCTGGCCTTGATGAGGAGCAGTTCTCAAAGGTGATGCTGATATTCTGCAGTTGATGGAATGGCTCATAAGGTCAGAGATAGCTTGATTATATATAGCAACAGCCCTCCAGCTGCACTGACTTGAGCTGAGCCAGCCACATCATTTACTATTACTCCGATCAAGATACTGTAGACACTGAGCATATGGAAATTCATGGCTTTTATTTGAAACTGCTTTTGTAATGATAATTCAGTCTCAAAGGTAACCTCAGCTGATTTTCATTTAGTATGACACAGTAGAATACCTAGTGGATCTCGGTGACATGATACAATGACTGTATGGGCATGTATATATATATTTTTGCTAACCAGAAAAATTCATTTGGATGACAATACATACAATCTTACGAGTTTTTCTGGTGTGTAGTGTATACATACAAATTTTATTTTTGTGCTCCATAGGACAGCTAGTATTGGTGTTTTTTTACAACAAAAAAGAGGCTAGACAGGGTATAAATTTTGAAAGTGAGTGTACAAACCTCCAGTACTTCCAGCAGCCCAAAACCATTGGGAGAGGTTGGGTGCAGCACTGATGGTTATTTCTGTGAAAACCTTTTTCTAGGCTGTGATATTTACAGATTTTTTGCTCACTTCCCTTTGTGTTAGGCAAAATCTGATCATTCAGGTGTAATTCATTTGTAAGTGGATGCATGTGTTCTGACAATAACTTTCTCAGTTCTTTCTTTACCT